ACCAGCTGGAGAGGCTCCCCTAAGGCAGGTGGTTTCGGATCTGTGCAGATGCTTTGGCAACAGGATCATTTGGGTTTCACGGTCAAACTACCCCCAAAAAAAAAGGGCTCATGCAAAAGAAAACACCCACCTCATACCTGAGATCTTCGCTTTAAGCTCTCCCAGAAAAGGGCTCATTCAACATACCGTGGTTCCCCAACCCTCCGCACATTGTCCCGAGCCTCGTTCCCCGCCCCCGGGGCGGTCAGGACCTGCGGGTGATGATCCGGGCCTTCACCTTCCGGGGCTTCCCAGTGCTGGAGGGGGACTACTTTGCCGGGGGCCCCAAACCCTTTGCCGGGAGACTACTTTGCCGGGACTACTTTGCCGGGGGCCTTGGATCCCACGCCCATTTTGGCCCCAGAAACTTCCATTGGCTTGCCTCCAGAGTTCTCTTTGAAAAACGGACTGGCAAGAATGGCGCGCCCTTCTTTTCCTTGGGGTCTGGGTTCTGTCATGAACTTATGTTGCATCCCACTGACCCCCTACTCAGGTGGTTAATATATGGCTGGTAGTAGCTTTGGTGGGAGTTTGAATGGTGAATCCAACTCAGAGAGCTCTTTAACTGGGGATACTTACCGCTTACTAAGCGGGAGGATTCAACGTACCACCCCCACTACTCCTAAGGGAAGGTTCCATGTTTGTTGGTGGAAAGGTAGGGAGGTACTGAGCAGGCAAAAGAAGTCAAAGTCAAGCAAAGCAAGGTACAATAAAGGTAACGCCATGCTAAAGTGTTTGCCAAATAAGGCTCCACCGGGCCATGATGGTTGGGAGAGGGTCTTTGTGGATCTGTTTGTTATGAGTCATGAGCCTTTGACAGGTGAGTCAACCAATTCCGCCTAGATGTTTGCAGGCGGGCTTAGATTTGTTGGAAGTGCATGTCCGTGGCTTCGCTTTGTTTGAGGGTATGCCTTGTGTACTGGCTACTGTCCAGTATGTCCGACTGAAAACCCACAGCTTTAGGACAGGAGAGCGCAGACCAACAAAAAGAAACAGACCTACAAAGTTATCCGTCAACCGCCCAAGTTAAAAACACACATCCCGGAGAAGGGTGCCCTCAAAAAAGACCTGCATGCTCGTCATTGGTGTCCGGTAGCCTTTGTTAGGGATTGGGGGCCTCACGGAGCCTTTTGAGAGCCAACACAGATCTTAAACTTTGACAGGTCAACGAAATCACTGCCACAATTTGCTCTTTTTTCGCGTTCGGGCTTCCTTCTGTTTCCCTTCAACCTGCAGCAGGGGTCGTCCTCTTGTTGCGAGGGAAATAGTGTGAGGGTCAAAATCCCCACGTTTTGTAAATCGTCGGGGGTGGGGATATGGGGTGGAGGGCCATGATTCACGAGGTGGGCTATGTGCGACGTTCCTCGCGGAAACCTCAGCCATGCCTTGGCCTGCTTCACAGAACAGCCCATTGGCCCTTAACCCTGAATGGGGGGGTAGTCTTGGGCTGGTGTTCGCACGGGTCCTGGTATACCCCAGCTGCTTTTTGGTCGCCATGATGTCAACTCAAGGCGGCAAGAACGGACAACTGCTGTCACAGTTCGGATTAGGTCCGGCGGGGCAAAGTAATCAGAGGAATCCCGAAATGACCGGACTCCCCACTGCAAGGACCGCTGATGAGTAGGGTTTTCCGGATTAATCTGGGTGGGTATTAGTCGGATTGTGTCAGCCCCCAAATAGAGCAGTTATCCCGAGCGAAAACCAGTGCCCCAAACGCATGCCAAAAAGAAGTGGGAGTTTGGTGTAGGAGGCTCTTATTTAGTCCCCTACGAGAGGGAGTGATTCACTTCGACATCCCGCAGTTCAGGTTGATAGGCTTCCAGTGAGCTTTATTCACAGAGGCCACCCCTCCCCGTTTCCAATAGATCCAAAGGAAGGAATTCCCGTACGTTCGACCCTGTGTCCCTTGCCTTTGGCGTATATGGCCATTTCTTTGTTGGAATCCTGGCAGTTTCCCCTATCACTTTCTGACATGCGTCAGGAGAGACAGGACCTACCATTTGGAGTATGACTGTTTTGCGACTAGCCGCAAGATATTTTCTTTGCAGAAGATCAATCCATGCGCGTACGAAGTGTCCTTCCTTCGTTGGCTTGAGATGATCTACCAGCTTTGTGATGAAGTCCTTTTTGTGTTTCCTTTGGTCTCCCTCTTCAGGGGCCGCGTGTAGCGGGTTCCAAGAAATGGGTCCTTCCGCTTCTGAGGCTCGAGGAGCTGATTTCACGCCTGGAGCTGGTGAGGGGTCAGAACGAGGAGCCCAGTGCAGCTGCAAGCTACCCCGAAGACCCATATTCTACCTGCACTGTTCTCGCCGGCCTCTTATTGTTTCTGGCTTTACTTCGCCCTATAGGGCGAGTTATTCTGAAACACAGCTTTTCTTATGTGGCCCTACTCGGGCTTGTTTCCAGCCACTTGCGAGTGTGCGGAGATGTGCCATTCGACCTATTTGCCCAGCAGGTAGTAACCCTCGACGACCTCGCATCAGTGATCGACCCCACTGCCGCGACCTTGGTGAGATGCCGACAGCATGGTGTCGTGGCTTTTAGGGGGATCTCTGATTTCTTAATATGTTTATGTGTTTCTTAACACAGGGGACCCGGAAATTGGTGGTTTTGTCCCTTTGGCTTCCCTTCAAAACCACAAGATTGGTTTGTGTCTTGAGTCGGTTTTCTTTTCTTGGTCTCCGGGAATTTCGCTTTGGGTATCCAACGGAGGATCCCGTTTGGGACCATGGCGGCCCAAGATTGGTTCTTTCTCGGGCCAGGGACCTGATATTCGGGCTATGCTGTGGATGGTTGCGAAATCCACATAAGAAACCCTGGATTGATATGCCAACAAACGTCACGGCCGTAAATGCATGCAGCGTTTGCCATCTTTTGAAGCATCCATTTGCTCAAGGTGGCAATAGGATTACTGTCTTTTTCAAGCATATCAGACATATCAAGCTAACTGGACTCAGGTGATGCGCATGGTGCCGGAGGCGCCCTTGACACAGGCGCACCAAGTCTTCAAGCAGCCCGGGCCCCGGGAGTTTTTTGCTTTTCCGGACGACCTGTCGGTGGCGAAATTCAAGCCCTCGGAAGCGCGAGAACCCAGCGAACAGCTTTGAATCGGGGAACCATCCCGGATCCGAAGTTGACCTCCTCTTGATGGATTCTTTGGCATACAGGGGGACCAAAGGGCAAGTGCACGTGGAAGGTATACATTTCATGGACCGAACTCCGACCGAATTCCCAGACCCACATGGCATCAGGGCTGCTTTCCAGAACCAACGACCGACCGCCCCACTTAGCGAGTAAATCATATCCCAGGCAAGGCCGTAAGGGGATTACGGGAAGGCTAAATTCCGCTGTAGGGCTGATTCCACCCGGAAATACATCAAGTGAGATCATCCAAGCACCCGACAACTAGCCGGGTTCCTCTTGGTTTCCCCTTTGAAGACACACACACACACACATTGGGGCGCCAACTCCCAAAAAGCCACGTCCATTTTTCGTCTTCAAGGGGCCAAATCTTCGATCACCTTGCAGCGGGCTTCGGCTCCAAGCCGCGGGCTCTCGAACGGGGTCCAGGCTGGGGTGTCAGCGCATCTTCGTGGTGGGCTCTGTGCCGGGCGGCGCGCAGGAGCCGAAGGGCCGAAGGGCCGAAGGGTTTTTTGGGTTGCGCCGGAGCGCGGAGAGCGAGCCGGATTGTGGTGTAGTGGGAAATCCCCACTGAACTGCTAAAATTTGAATGTTTGCTCCCCTTCCAACGTCAACCAAGTTGACACCATACCTTTTTGGATCCCAGAAGGCTTAGGCTGGCGGCTTTAGCTCTTAGCGCCGGAGCGGGGCGCTTGGAATTTCGAGGGAGAGATGAACCAATTGTGTTTAATTAATGTGCTTAAGGGCAATCCTCAGGAAGTCATTCCCACTCACAGGTTCCCTCATTGTTTTCCCCACCCTCGGTTGCTGGATTGGACCCCCGTTTGGGAGATGTCAATGGGTGCTCCCGCCTCACCAAACCGCCGGGCTTCAAACCGGCAAGGAGAAAGCTGAGTGTCATGGATTCCGCGCGGGTTGAGATCCCCTTTGCTCACTGCTTGAGTTCACGGAGACTGGTCACGTTTTGGGTTTCGACCATTTTGGTGGTTTACAAAAGGTCCAGACTTGTTCTTAATCCACCCCGTCCCTTTGTACGGAAATGTCTTGGTCGCTGGTTTAACGCGCAGAATCCCGAGAGGCGTTTGGGCCAGGATTGCAACAGCCAGCCTGGATGAGAACCCAAGGGGTCCATAGGACGCCCCATGCTTCAAAGGCCCAGGCGCTCCCAAGCCGTGGCATTTGTCGTCCCCTTGGTGGAAGTTTGGTGGCAACCCCGGAGATCTCAATTTGGAGGTGGTGTCATGTTTGCTTTTGTGGATAGGACTGTGTTGTCTTACCAGGAACTTGTTTGATCTGTCTTTTGATTGCAGCTTAAGGTTCGCTAAACATGGACAAGAATCCAACACATACGATTCTGGTTGTGGTAAAGGTTGAGGCAAGTAACTGCGGAGCTCACTTCGGGGGTAAAACTGAGAGGGGAAGGTGCTCATTTTCGGTGGCACGAAAAAAGTTCCCAGATTTCACAATCCCTTCTTTTCGCGAGGTAAGTCATGGGATCCGGTGCCTTTGGGCTGCAGGATGTGCTGCAGGGCATCGTGACCAAGAAGAACTTCTTGAAGTTCCTGCAGGATGGCACCGCGCGAGGCCTCAGAATTAAACATTTCGAGGGCTACCTTCCATTTCCATTCTTTCCAGGGATCCTTCTTTTCAGGAAACCATCAAAAACCCAGGGCAACCGCTTGTTTTTGAAAAGAAAGATGTTGAGAAGAATGAGGAATCAACCCCTAGAACATTTCGACCCCGAAGGAAGCACCTTGAAGGACCTTTTTTGTGGGCAATGGCGAAATTAAGGACCCCCCCCTCAACGAGGGTTCTACAGGCGACCTCCAAAGTTGTGGTTTTCCATTTCATGTCCATTAGATGTTCCAAAAACACCAGCAAACATGGGGTACAAACTCCAATAAAGACAATCACTTTTTGGGGGGAGCCATGCGGATATGAAGGGCCCCCCTAAATTCGGGCTCTACACGACAAAAGGGGCCCAAAAAGGCTGGACTTGATAAAGTTCGGTAAGCAACAAGTTCGAATGTGTTTGGCCAATTCACTCAGGAAGTGAGAGAATGGCGCCCCACCAAAAAGACTTGTTTTGTAGCTTACTTTGGTTTGCACTGGGTGTCCCTTTTCCGGTTTGGGAAGTACATGTCAATGTTCGACTCCCCCGGATCACCGCCAGGAGATATCCCCAATTCAACTCAACCAGGGGGATAGTGCTCCTCTCCCATCAAAGCGTGAGAGGGGGAACGAACAGTCGATGAGGCGTTGTCCGCTTCACCTTGCTGTGAATATATATATATATATATATATATACATATATATATATATACACCCCATGTGCCTTAGTTTTTTTGTTTTCTTTGTTTTTCCTTTTTGGTTTTTTTCGCCCCTTGAAATCCTCTAAGAACTCAGCCCTTCACTCAGGCTGCCAAGCAGCTACCCCCCTCCCCGTGTTTGGCCAGATTCTTTCCAGTGGAAGGCATATGCCCGAAGGCGGATGAAGGCGGCATGTGAGTTGGCGGGTGTCAACATCGTTCTCCGGCGAAAGTCCCTCTGGACGTCCATGGAGGGCCTTTCTGCAAAAACGAAATCCTGACCCCCCGAAGACCCTCGCCCAACGGCTCAGGCCTCACTGGCCAAGGTTTGGGGCTTCTGGGCTTCTGGGCCTTTTGTTTCCACATTCCTTCCACGTCCTTTGCGGAGAGATGGCCTTCACTTCGTCAGTTGAGTTTTATGGACTTGATTTCTGGACCACTTTCTGGTGAGCAAACTCAGGACTTCTGACCAATCCACGGAAGTGATGCCCGGAGTTTTGGGTGTCTCTACATCCTGGGTAAGATGCCTCACTTGGACTTTTTTCTTGCGTTTGGACCAGTTGAGTGGTCAAAACGTTTGGACCTCTGCCCAGATCCAAGGTGGGCTGCATGCCGGAGGGCCCTGGTCTGGAGAGCCGCGACTCAGGCGAGTCGGAGCCTCCCACCTCGGGGGGCCTCCATGTCAATCCCATGACGTTGATACGGAGGATGCTCCCATGTGGCCGTGGGTCAACCTCAATGGGATCCCATTTTGGGGAAGGTGCACCCATTTTAGAACCTATTTGAGTGGGGTTTGGGATGTTCACTGGGGGTACGGGGTTTTGACCCATAGCCATGCTGCAAGCGAAAACCATGGAACCTAACTCACCAAGTTCAACGCTTTTGGGGTTGAGTGTGCTTGGTTTGCTCGCAATATTTAGGGCGTCCAGCGTATTTGCGGTGCACTGGGTTCATCACTCCATATGTGACCAATCCGAGGCGGCCAAGCAGTACATCCCAGGTGTCACTTTTGAGAATGAAATACGTAGGGAAGTGGACTCGCTGGGCTTGGATTTGGGTTTGTTTCCACAAATGGAGGGTACCATCCAATATGGTTGGAATCCTCTCAGTTTCCCTTGAAACCCTTCCAAAGGGTTCCAAACACTGACGCGCCCATATGCTAAGGTTTTGTCCTTGTTCTTCGCTTTCAGGATGTATTTCAGTGGTGTGCTGTCGTTTTTGGCGGGGGGGGAGGGTGGCCCATGTTGAGGAATGGTTTTAGGCGTTCGCTTTTTTGGTTCCGGCCATGCTGTTGGTGGCCAGGGTTTATGGGGCGCTGCGCGAAACGAGAAGCCTTGTTTGTAGCAACAAACCAACTTAAAACAACATTCAGGGCTCGAAAGAGCGGTTTCTTTCTTCCAAGGATCCCAGTTACCTCAGCCGAGAACGGATCAGGATCGGTGTCCCTTTTAAGAAGGGATAGATCCTCTACTGTTGAGGGGGCAGCACTTCGTTGCTCCAGCAGGTGATGGCCTGTGATTTTTGCATCGGCGTGGAACGATGCCACGAAGGCCCCTTTCTTGGGGAATCGTATGCCCTGAGCGTGTTGCCCTGGGCGGAGAAGCCTTCGACATCTATGTCTGCAAGACACACGTGTGACCTTCGAGCTTCGCGTCTTGTTTTGGAGGCTATTTCCGGTTGGTTCAAAAGGGGCACCAACAGCAAACGACCCAGCTTGGAGCTTCCAACCCATTTTTGAGATACCCCACTCACAAAATAGGTCCCCCTAGGGGAAACCCGCCCGCCCGCACCGCATCCTTGGACACTTGCCACAGGCGCGCTGCGTTTCGCCTACGACGGGCCAAGGGGCCCAGCGGTCGGGCGACGCGCGTCAGCTGCAAAGCCCGTCCTTCGCTTTGATCAGCTTCCCAAAGTCCTTGTTGCAGTTGAAGGGTGGCAGAATCAGCTGGAGTTTCTCACTTCCTGAGTTCATGAACTTTAGACTTTTTGGGAAGACCATTTTAGTGGTAAATATAAAGTTTGGACTTTTTTTGGGCAATCCACTCAGCCAGTGAGGTTTGGGATGTTGAGAAAAGAATGGGTTCAACAACCTCCTTTTTTGGCTACCCCTTTAAAAGGCCACAGGCCGGTGGGGTGAACAAGAATTCTTGCCCAAGCCTTGCAGCCTGTCGCAAGGTCCAACACTTCCACAGGACCCGCTTTATTTTGTGTGCCTGGGCCAGGCTTCATATGATCCTAGGTCGAACCATCCTGATTCAGCGCGTTGATTTGAGAGGGACAACGGTTGTACTCGCTAAGTTCGTGTGTCCTTGACAGTACCCGCATGTGGGGCTGTCTTTGTCGAGTCGTACCTATTTTGGGATTGGTTTGAAGGGAAGCCAAATTGACACCTGTATTTGGAGATTTCCCTATTTTGAGACATTCGGATCGCAGAAGGTGGCCCGCATGCCAGCAAGCAAGGACAAAAGCACATGTCTAATTGGCGCATGCGGGAATTTACATGCCCAAAGGGCCCTGCTTCATTAGCGGTTCTGCCTTCTTGGTGGAAGCAACTCATTGCACAGCGTGGGGTGTGCATTTCAACGTTCTGGACCTTTGAGAGGGGGGAACCCCAAAGGACACTCGCTCGCTATGCGAGCGCCGCGTCCGGTGAAATGATATCCAACAGTTCCAACGATATTTTTTGTGGCAACCAGCCCTACAAACCCTCAGATATTATGTCAGATGTGTCAACCCTTGAGGCCATTTAGGCTTGGGCCCACGTGGTCTTCAGGGCGTTGGCCGTTTTTTTTCTTCTTCTTTTTTTCTCAAGGCCCCATATAGGCCTTCACGGTTGCGGGTTTCTTTTTCGTGGGGGAGGGGCGCCTGGCCAACTCTGGTCATAAGCGCGGTCAAGCAGTTGGCAGCCATCGGCTTCCCCCTTCCAACCCGAAAGCTTTGGAAGTTGCGAGCGGTTGGGGAAGGCGCCCTCTGAAGCTGTCGGCCATGCTGAAAACGCCACACAGATGGTCTTAGGTGTCCTTTTTGGTTAGTTTGTTTTAAAATGGATGGCACTGGTTTAGATGGGTTTCATTTCATTTACCAGGGCCATCTATTTTTCCAAAAGGCCACCTGTGCAAATGGCCCTTTTAGGAAGCAAAAGGAGGCTGGAAGCCGTAGCTTAGCTTCGCAAGTCTTGGGGGGCTCCCTTGATTTGGCGAACGTACCCTCCAAAAACAAGCATGGAAGTGCAGAGCAGTCTTTCAAGGGTTGGGAGGATAGCCACAAGCAACACAATGTAACAATCCAAAGTAGCAATAGTACACCAGGGGGTACCCCGCCAATGTTGTCAAAAGTTCCATGTGTTCCTTTTTTCTATGAATTCTTCTATGGTTTTTCCGTGTGTGTGTGTGTGTGTGCTTGGATGTGGGAAGAACCCCCCCAACTATCAAAACAAACAGCATTTTAGGATTCTGCTCCCTACTTCTGGACCCAAAAGCAAGTGAAAAACCCTCAACAAACGCTCTCCCCCAGACCTCCCCCATCTCCTCGAAGGTTTCTATCATGGATGTATCTTCCCTTTCTCCGAGTTTCGTCCTTTCTCTACTGTGGATGGACGATATCCATTGTGACCATTCAGAAACCCTATGGTATGATTCCCCTGCAAATACCAACAAACATGATGGTTCCAACCCTGGTTTCTCAGGTGCAAAATGGATGACTCGCAACCATCCGCAGAACTGGATGTTCTGTTTTTCTCCTTTCTCTCTGAGTTTCTTCCCTTTCCCTACTATCGTTTCGACCACTCAGAAACCTCACGGAATCATCTGATTCCCCCAGTTCCCAGCACCCCCCTCCCCCCCCCCCTGCCCCCCCGAGTCAAGGCCTCAGCAGCCGAGCACCGCCAGCCACGTGCGCCTCTCGGAGCTCTTCTCGGTGCTGGACGCCTCTTGGCTCCCGCGTGGGGCGCGATGAATAAAATCGGGCTCCGAGACTTCCACTTCCTGAGGTCCTTTTTGCGGACCTCATAAGCTTTTTTTAAAATGGCTTGGACCATTTTGGTGGGACTTTCAACCGTTTAAAGTGGTTTGGACCATTTTGGTGGGGCTTTCAACTGCTTAAAGTGGTTTGGACCATTTTGGCGGTAAAAGTTCGGACTTTTGAAGGCCAATTGACTTGGGAAGTGGGAGTCTTTTTCCGAGACATTTCTTTTTTGGGAACCTCGTGGCGCTCGTGTCCATGGAGCCACCAGTTTTGTTTGATCAACTTTTGAAGGGGAAATCCAGCGACCCCTATCCACTAGGGGTTGATTCCCCATTATTTTCAACCATCCTTCTTTTCAAAAGCCAGCTGTTGCCCTGGGTTTTTGATGGTTTTCTAGAAAGAAGGATGGAAAGAATGGACATGGAGGCTTCCCTAGAGTGATCTAAGGTCTGCTTTAGAACACCGATTGTTCCTTCCAAACCTTTCCCGAGGCTTTGGGGGGCCTTTCCCCTAAGGTCTCTGGGGGGTGGCCTTTTGAGGCTGCGGCGGAAGCCGGCGGCGAGACCAGGCGAGAAGCGCGGCGGAAGCCGGCGATGTCCGGCGTCAAAGTGGCCCAGGGGGCCGAGCAATGTGGACCCACCCCTTTTTTCTCCTTTTTTTTTGGGGGTTGGGGGGTGGGGGGAGGGAAGCTGGATTCATTCCAGAAGCTTGCCTTGTTTTGTTTGGGTTGTTCAAAACCATTCTTTAAACCTGCCAGCTTGGGTGTTCAGCCAACTTAGTAAGTAGCTTTTTACAACTAACCCCAGTACCCCAGCTGGAACCATGATTTTAACCATTACTAAGTTGGCTGAGCACCCAAGAGATGCAGTTCTCTGGTAGTGGTGTCCCTCGGAATATGTCCAGGCCGCCTTTCTCATCAATGTTCCACTAGTGGTCACAGTATGTCCGAGAGAAGCCTCTGTGGCGCTAGGCAAATGGTTCCCTTTGCACTGGTTTCCCAGTAAAAACTATAGATTAGGATTGTCCAACACTCCATTTTGAACAGCCCAGATGGCTTACCTTCAAAGTCAACGCTTGGCCCCGGGCGCGCGCAGGGCTGAAGACCAGCTGAGCTGCTCAGTTGGCCCTTCAGCCAGTGACGACGAGGCCGGCTCTGAAGCGGCCGGGAGGAGGGCGAGTAGGGGCCGGGAGGGGGGTTTTGGAGTGGGGCTGAATCCATGCGGGGTTTTGGAGGGGGTTTTGGAGTGGGTTTTGGAGTGCTTTTTGAAGTGGTTTTTGAAGTGGTTTTTGGAGTGGTTTTTGGAGTGGGGTTTTAGAGTGGATTTTGGAGTGGGTTTTGAAGTGGTTTTTGGAGTGGTTTTGAAGAAAGCCACAGAGGGCCTTTCTAGTTCGGTGTTCATGATCGTTTTCCCTGGTTACCCATTGTGTCTTGAGGCTTGGGCGTGAAATGATCCATGGACGGTGTCCGCCAGGAAGCCCCAGGAGCTTGAAGAATCTGTGCTCTTCAGACTAGATTGGCAGACTCTTGGGCACCATCTAGCACCAGTTCGACCATGTTCAAATGAAAGTCAGATGGATGCCCAGCCGGGGTCAAACCATACAGTTTCGGTGGACCCCCTTTTTCAGTCGCTTGCTTAGCAACTAGCCTTCCTAAGGGTCCGGGTCCTGCTGCTCCCTTTCGTGGAGGGGATTCCCTTTGAAGTGAGCTGCAGAAAAAAAAAAGCAGTCGGCCCTTTTTGGGCGACCCCGACTTTACCTTCCTTTGGGGTGTCACAAGGGTTCCTCCGTTTGGGGCGGACCAAGGGTTGGGCAAATATGGCAGAAAAAGCAACCGCCTGGTCCTTCGCCGGCTCTCAAAACAATAGACTGGCGCAGAAACGAGCGTGTCTGAGTGCGTGTTCTGCTGGAATCCCCCGGAGGTGCCCAGCTTTCGGTGCTGATCTGACCCTAGTCCCTGAGGTGATGAGTACGAGGAATCTCGCTCAGGAGACTTCTCCTCGCTCAGGGGACTTCAGTTTGCTTCAGATTTATATAAATGACCCTAGTCAGCAGAAGCTCCAAAACGAGATCCCTTTTCCTTACTAAATCGGGCACCACCCCCGAGTAGCACGGTCCGGAATTGTATGAGGTTAGCATTGACTACTTCCGAAGTGGGGTGGTATTCTACAGGAAATCCTACAGGAAATGTTCGTTTTAGTGGGAATTCGGACTACTTCCTGGCGAAAATATCTGCACTTGGAACCTCAAAATTCCCTGAAACTTGATGTATTGCCCTAAAATTCTGGGGTTGCTTCCCTTTTTACTGGCTAGGTCTGCCAGTAGTGCCCTTCTCTCCCTTTTTTTGGTTGGGAGGGTTCCCCTACTGAAATAGACGTCCTGAAAAAGGTTGGTACCCTTATTCTAACCTCTCTACTGGAGGACCTAGATTTGAGAGCCAAGTGGTCCTCCACGTATTGAACGCCGAATCAGCACCTGAGGCGGCCAATGGCGTGTCGCCACTGGCTGACAAATGCTGAGCGCGCTCAGTCGCTTGGGCCATCCCATCCACTAGGTCCTTCAATAGTCATTTGATCTTCCTAGTTTCACTGTTCTTGGCATGTGCTTCGTTTTTTTTTTTTGGGGGGGGGGTTCTGTTGATTTGTAGTAGGCTGCAACAGCAAAGTTATTTTTTGACCATACCGTTGGGGTTGGACAGCTAGTTGTTGGGGCCAGCTTTAGGCGATGGCGACATGGCGTGGCTCTAAAATTTGGCAGAGATTTGCTTTGATGCATGTTGCTTAGATGTTAGGACTTTAACTTTTTGCCAACTAGTGGATTCTCCATCAAACCACTAAAAGTTAAACTTTTGGCAGGGCAGCAGAAAGCAACCGAGTTTGCATTGGGTCAAGAGGAGTGGGTTGGTTGGGGAGCCAGGGGCTACGGGGGTCTTTGGGAGACCATGGTCCTGGAAAAGCAACTCCCCTGGTGGGTTCCATGGCAACATGGACCAGAGAAAACAAAAAGGCAAATCAAGCTCAGGTTGGGGAGAGTTTTAGTCGAGGAGTCCAGATTTGATTCATCACAGTCGCCGTGTTGTTTGGATTTGTTTCACTTTTTCGGGATTTCAGGGATGTTTGCTTTGCTGCCAGGGTGCTGCTCGGACTGACTTTTCTGGGAACTGTAGAAGTGAGGCAGTCAAGCTTACACCACACTTTCGATGGAGCAGATCAAAGCCCCCGTACTCTCAGAGTTGACGAGATATGGTTGCCTTTTCCGGGGCGGCGCAAGAAAATAAGCCTACCTTTCGCATGTTCCCAAGGAATCTCTACGTTGCCCTTTTTGCCTACGAAATGGTTGCGGTTGCTTCACCCTCATCGCACTGATATCTTGGTGAGCGGGATGGTCCAAGTAGGTTGCCGGCCGTGACAAGCGCTGGCCGAATCTGCCGGCCAGTGGAACCGGGAGCAAAGCCGCAATGCCCTTCATCCCCAGAAAGAGGAAAATGAACACACACGAACTTGGCCTTCCCAAACAAATTGGGGGGGTGGGGGGAGCAAGCACTTGGAGGCGACTTTGCAGCCAAAAGCCCTTAAACAAATATAACTCCCAAAAAGAAGGGTTGAACAAATAGACGTTAAGTGTCCATCATACGGGGGTGTAATTGTTTGACTAGTTCTTGGGTTTCAAGCGGTTCCACTGTGGGGGTAAACAAAGCTCACGATGAATCTGCATCCTCAAACTACCCACACAAATGGCATCGTGCACCAACATTATGGGTGATTTTGATTGATTTTCCAGTTTAATTGGTGAGGGTCCAGGTAGGTGCTTTACTTGGGGATCCATCTCATCTCTGACCTAATTAAAGTGTTGAAAATCTCGAATTTGCAGATTGCCAGGCGTCGAGTAGCACAGTCCTTCAGGTTGTGGCTGGGATAGAGCCACATGATGACCAATTCTTCTTTTGTTTCTATTTTTCCTGACTTCTTGAGTTCAACTTTCTACTTGTTTGCAATACAGTTTAGTGGTAGCCCAAAATTTCAAAAGTCCAGACTCTTGTTGCCAATCCAGGAGGTGGGTATCGGATCCACCGCAGATGCGTTGGGCTCATGCAGTGACGCGAACGGCTTTTCGATTTGCTCCCGGCCTGCGAATTCAAGTTGCTCACCTCCAAAGATGTGGTCACTCTCCCGAACCTACGATGGATGCTCTGAATGTTGCAAGCAAGCCAATCGCAACCCCTGGGATTCACAGGGTTCCCTTGCTCCGTACCTGCAATACTTAGGGCATCCACCGTACGAAGTAAAAATGGACTCTTGTACAGTTGGCTTTGTCGCGGTATCCAAATGTCCTTTTAGTTGAGCGGCTTGGGTTCGTGCTCACCAGGCTTGGGCAACTTTGTTTCAACCACCAACCCCTGGCTCCCTTGAAAGGGACACCAGAGAAAGTTGGTTTAGCAACAAGTGTGTATGTATGTAATGTAATGTAATGTAATGTAATGTATGTATGTAATGTAATGTAATGTAATGTAATGTAATGTAATGTAATGTAATGTCATGTATGTATGTAATGTATGTATGTAATGTATGTATGTATGTAATGTAATGTAATGTAATGTAATGTAACGTAATGTAATGTAATGCAATGGAATGGAATGTAATGTAATGTAATGCAATGTAATGTAATGTAATGTATGTATGTATGTAATGTATGTATGTAATGTATGTATGTAATGTAATGTAATGTAATGTAATGTAATGTAATGTAATGTAATGTAATGTAATGTAATGTAATGTAATGTAATGTAATGTAATGTAATGTAATGTATGTAATGTATGTATGTATGTATGTAATGTATGTATGTATGTATGTATGTATGTATGTATGTATGTATGTATGTATGTATGTATGTATGTATGTATGTATGTATGTATGTATGTATGTATGTAATGTATGTATGTGTATGTATGTATGTATGTATGTATGTATGTATGTATGTATGTATGTATGTATGTATGTATGTATGTATGTATGTATGTAATGTATGTATGTAATGTATGTATGTATGTATGTATGTATGTATGTATGTATGTATGTATGTATGTATGTATGTATGTATGTATGTATGTATGTATGTAATGTATGTAATGTATGTAATGTATGTATGTATGTATGTATGTATGTATGTATGTATGTATGTATGTATGTATGTATGTATGTATGTATGTATGTGTGTATGTAATGTATGTATGTATGTATGTATGTATGTATGTATGTATGTTGTATGTAATGTATGTATGTATGTATGTATGTATGTATGTATGTATGTATGTATGTATGTATGTAATGTATGTATGTATGTATGTATGTATGTATGTATGTATGTATGTATGTATGTATGTAAGTAATGTAATGTAATGTATGTATGTATGTATGTATGTATGTATGTATGTATGTATGTATGTATGTATGTATGTATGTGTATGTAAGTATGTATGTATGTATGTATGTATGTATGTATGTATGTATGTATGTAATGTATGTATGTATGTATGTATGTATGTATGTATGTATGTATGTAATGTATGTATGTAATGTATGTATGTATGTATGCATGTATGTATGTATGTATGTATGTATGTATGTATGTATGTATGGTAATGTATGTAATGTATGTATGTATGTATGTATGTATGTATGTGTGTAATGTATGTATGTATGTATGTATGTATGTATGTATGTATGTATGTATGTATGTATGTATGTATGTATGTATGTATGTATGTATGTAATGTATGTATGTATGTATGTATGTATGTATGTATGTATGTATGTATGTATGTATGTATGTATGTATGTATGTATGTATGTATGTATGTATGTATGTATGTATGTATGTATGTATGTATGTATGTATGTATGTATGTATGTATGTATGTATGTAATGTATGTAATGTAGGTATGTATGTATGTATGTATGTATGTATGTATGTATGTATGTATGTAATGTATGTATGTATGTATGTATGTATGTATGTATGTATGTATGTATGTATGTATTGTAATGTATGTATGTATGTATGTATGTATGTATGTATGTATGTATGTATGTATGTATGTATGTATGTATGTAATGTAATGTAATGTAATGTAATGTAATGTATGGAATGTATGTAATGTATGTATGTATGTATGTATGTATGTATGTATGTATGTATGTATGTATGTAATGTATGTATGTATGTATGTAATGTAATGTAATGTAATGTAATGTAAAGTAATGTAATGTAATGTAATGTAATGTAATGTAATGTAATGTAATGTAATGTAATGTAATGTAATGTATGTATGTATGTATGTATGTAAATGTAATGTAATGTAATGTAATGTAATGTAATGTAATGTAATGTAATGTAATGTAATGTAATGTAATGTAATGTAATGTAATGTATGTTATGTAATGTAATGTAATGTAATGTAATGTAATGTAATGTAATGTAATGTAATGTAATGTAATGTAATGTAATGTAATGTAATGTAATGTAATGTAATGTATGTATTACTGTAATGAATGTAATGTATGTATGTATGTATGTATGTAGGTAGGTATGTATGTATGTATGTATGTATGTATGTATGTATGTATGTATGTATGTATGTATGTAATGTATGTATGTATGTATGTATGTATGTATGTATGTATGTATGTATGTATTGTATGTATGTAATGTAATGTAATGTAATGTAATGTAATGTAATGTAATGTAATGTAATGTAATGTAATGTAATGTAATGTAATGTAATGTAATGTAAGTAATGTAATGTAAGTAATGTATGTATGTATGTATGTATGTAATGTATGTATGTATGTATGTATGTATGTATGTATGTAGTTAATGCAATTGCAGATGCATGCAATGTTAATGTAACGTAATGTAATGTTAAATGTAATGTAAAGGGAATGTATGTATTGTATGTCAATGATGTGTTTATTGTATGTAATGTATGTATTTTTTCTTGTTGGGGGGTATGGTAAATGTATGTATGTATGTATGTAATGTATGTATGTATGTATGTATGTTATGTAATGTAATGTAATGTAATGTAATGTAATGTAATGTAATGTAATGTAATGTAATGTAATGTAATGTATGTAGGTAATGTATGTATGTATGTAATGTATGTATGTATGTATGTATGTATGTATGTATGTATGTATGTATGTATGTGATGTAATGTAATGTAATGTAATGTAATGTAATGTAATGTAATGTAATGAAATGAAATGTAATGTAATGTAATGTATGTATGTATGTAATGTATGTAAGTATGTAATGTATGTATGTATGTATGTATGTATGTATGTATGTATGTATGTATGTATGTATGTATGTATGTATGTATGTATGTATGTATGTATGTATGTATGTAATGTATGTATGTATGTATGTATGTATGTATGTATGTATGTATGTATGTATGTATGTAAGGTATGTAATGTATGTATGTATGTATGTATGTATGTATGTATGTATGTATGTATGTATGTATGTAATGTAATGTAATGTAATGTAATGTATGTAATGTATGTAATGTATGTAATGTATGTATTGTATGTAATGTATGTAATGTATGTAATGAATGGATGGATGGATGTATGTATGTATGCATGTATGTAATGTATGTATGTATGTATGTTATGTATGTAATGTATGTAATGTAATGTAATGTAATGTAATGTAATGTAATGTAATGTAATGTAATGTAATGTAATGTAATGTAATGGAATGCATGTATGTATGTTTGTATGTAATGTAATGTAATGTAATGTAATGTAATGTAATGTAATGTAATGTAATGTAATGTAATGTAATGTAATGTAATGTAATGTAATGTAATGTAATGTAATGTAATGTATGTAATGTATGTAATGTATGTATGTAATGTATGTAATGTATGTAATGTATGTAATGTATGTAATGTATGTAATGTATGTAATGTATGTAATGCAAGCCATCTTGGCACTGGGGACCCATGGCCCAAGCCTGGGTGCAACAAGCCGTGGCCTTTCAACCCGTGGCAGAATTCGACACCCAAACTCGTCATCCCCTATAGAGGGCCATAGTTTGTTCTTTTCCAGGGTCTCATGATTTCTTGGGAAGGCCGCAGTCCAACAACACTTGCGGAGATGGCCCTTCCTAATGAGTCATGGCCCCGAAAGGTGAACCTTCTATTTCGTGGTCCCTTGGGCAACTGAGCATTTGTTAGCATGTGATTTTGCTAGATTTCATATGAAGAACCTGAATCTGAAAAGGTTATCATTGGTGTGGGGCTGGGAAATAGCCCACTACTCGGTTAGCCTCACCCAGGGGATTTAGAAGCTTATTTCAGCTGTGCAAACCACTTAGTCACTTACTACCTGCTACGTTGAAAGCATGCGAAACCATGGCGTTTGTTGGTATTTACCTTGGGGAATCAAACTGGGATGGGAAAGCCGGTTTGCTGGTTGGGTTCTCAAACAGCTTCGCCCAAACCTCCAGTGCCCTCGTGTCCTTTTTGAGGGGGTGTCCCTTCGAATTGGCCATGTTTCAGCATGTTCGTGGTTTTCCCAGGTTTCCCGTTAGAAGGACCCAAATCCACGACTTTTTCCCACCGGAGACATGGGTGCACCCAACGCCCCCAACACAAGCGCCTGGGATCTTTTCCCTTTGCTCGGGCTCGCATGCGGTGCCGTTGGCTGAAAGGCTTCACTCCAAGGGATCAAGTTGGTTCAGTAGAATATCCCCAAAGACTTTGTCCAAGAAGTAGAATACTATTTTGCTGGATTTCTGGCACTGCACCACTTCTTTGGTCAGACCGGTCCCAAGAGAACGCCAGATCCTTCCTTGGGGAAAACTCAGCGGAACCCCCTGCGGAACCGACACCATGGGCTGCTCGACCTCGTCAGCCGCTTGGACGCGTGCGTCAATGGCTGAGGCAGTTGATGGACTCGGATTGAATTTGATTCTAAGATATGGCCGTGGGTCAACACCAATGGTACCATTTTGGGGTACGTCCACCACCCATCTTAGTTTATTTTGGTGGGGATTGGGATGTTCACTGGGGGTACGGGGTTTTGACCCATAGCCAAATATTGTACAACACCCAAACCATTGCACAAGGTGAAATCAGGGCACATGCCCTTGGATTAGACCTTCACGCACGTGCCATGTCATGGAGTTTGACCTCGGTGTAGCCTCGGTGGAACCTCACGGTTTTTGTTCCGCAAGACCGTGGTTTGACCTGGGCCAGCGTTGGCATGGCATTGGCACAGTTGCAAACGCTGTGCGTTGCCCGCCTCGGCCCAGCCGCACGCGCAGCGTCTGCGGTTCGATTGCAGGCAGAGAGCTGGTCAAGTGGCGATTCAGGAATGGACAGGTTCTGGCGTCGTCGGACCAATTGATGTCATGGGCCGAAATTGTGCAGGAACCACCGAGGCAAGGGCAAGGCGATGCATAGGACCAAGAGCGAGTCATGGAGCCAAGAGTCTGTGGCGCTACGTGCTGGGCAGTGCTCATCAGACAAGTCTGGTTGGGATGCTGGTTGGCCTGCGCCTGCTTGGGCTGGGACGCGCCAGACGGACTAGGCTGCTGGTTGGCGAGAAGATAGTTAGTAAGATGCGACGGTCAGGCCAAGCAGACATTTCTGCACCCATCAGGCTGGACTAGGCCTTGCTGAATGGGTGCTGGTTGGGCTGGAGGCGGGCTTGGCTGGGGTGGGTGAAGCTGGTCTCAGCAGCAAGTCTGGGTGTGAGGCTGTGCTGGCTCGGGCCTCAGTCTCAGTGCGCCTTGCTTGGGTGGGTTTGCTGGTTGTGCTGAGGTGAGCCTGCACCTTGGAATCGTTTGGGTGGTTGCTGGGTGGGCTGGGCCTGTGAGGCTAGTCTCAGACACATCTCAGCAGGAGGTCATGCTTTTCGGACCAAAAAACTAGCTTGCATTCTCAGCACATTTGCGGCAAATGGGGCCGGATAAATTTTGGAAGGGAAGGGGACAAGTGACCTTGGGCTTCTTGGGGCCGAGACGAATTCTAGTGTAGCCTGGCCTGGCGATCGCTTTGGATCTGTGAAGAAGCCTTGGCGATAGCTAGACGATGGCGTGCTTGAATTCAAATGGTTGGTCCTGCCGGACAGTCAAATGCTTCACGGCGAAGCTTCAATTCACCCATGGTTCGTTGGATGGTCGCAGCTGCTACATGGATCTACATGGATCATCATGGATGGCTGTGGCAACTGTAGAGCCACCCTCCCACCAACTCTGACAGCGGTCCTGGAAGACCACTGTCCTTCTGAAGGGACCCCCTTGTCAGGTTGTTAATTGGGGGGAGGTAACACATGTGCAAAGAATCCGACTGCGCACGAGTTGCGTTTTTTGCTGCAGAACCAACCCAGGCCCCGCTTTTGGCAGGTGGGGAAAACCCAGACCTCCAGTTGCTTCCTATTTCATTTTTTTGGGGGAAGGGTTTCCCTTAAACTTGCTCCTTGAGTTGCTGGACTTCATACTTGTTGAGTTTGGATTATTTTAGTGGTGAACCGAG